TACTATTGTAATTTTGAGCATTAAAAAATTAAATGTACGACGTGGAAATATTAAATAATAAAATAATTTTAACTTTTTTTTATTTTTTTGAAGTAATCTTAAAGTCAGGCTTAACGCATGATATAATTTTTTATTTTTTTTAACGCATGATATATTTTGTCCGTTTCTTCACTTCAATAACAGTTTTTAACGTCAAATAACTCAAATAAATATAAATTTCCAATAAAAATCAGAAATAATCAGAAGTTCGTTATATGATAAAAGAAAATTTCTGACCAAAATTTATCCATATCAAAAGGGGTCAATTCCAACTGTAGGTCAATTTGACATGGAATGACCCAACTATATTTTATTATTAAGTCGCAACAACAGTAGTAATCCTGTTGCTGCAACATGGTTGCCTCCTGTTGCAGCTACAGGAAAATCCTGTAGCTGTAACAGGATTTTTCCCTGTTGTTGCAACAGGAGGCAGTCATGTTGCAGCTGCAGGAAAATCTTGTTGCTGCAACATGACTGCCTCCTGTTGCAGCAACAGTTAATTTTTTTCCGTGTAGTAAAATTCCTTGTAATAAGTGTGATAATAATATCAGTAGATATTGATAAGAAGCCATTTTGTATGAATTAAGCAACAAATACTGTCGTAAATTAAGATAAAATTAGTTCTTGGTAAATAAAAACCGATCTCGGATGTTTATCTAATCAAATATCATTTTATATGTTAATTTTATTAAAGTATTAGTTTAATTTGAATAGATCGTCGTAATTTTTGCAACTACATCTGGGGGTTGAGAGAGGAACTGGAAGGTTTGTAAAATGTTTCGCGCGCCTTGATGATAAGAGGGATCTTTATTTATCGGCATGGTTGTGGAGAGAGAAAACTACTTTACCGGATATATAAAGTGACTTTATCTTCAGCGTGATCCAAATTATATTTCGAGGACTGTACTTGGAATTAAAATAAATTTTAAATGTAAATCTTCTATCATAAGAAAGTTTAAAATTTTTGAAAACTAAAAATCTATATTAATATTTTCCAATAACTATTTTTAAATCAATTGATAATATTTATTTTAGCAAGAATTATTTTGGTTAGACAGCAATAATTTCTTAAATTTCAAAAAATTTTCGATCTTTAAAAGATTTTTGAAATTATTAAGTATAAAAATATTGAATATCAAAAAAACGAAAAAAATTGTGTGATGCTATATGTAATAGATAAAAAAATTTGATTAAAATTTCTGGTTCAGAGATCAAGAGTCTTGCTGGGTTTCCCAAACTAAAATAATCTTGCGCATGCGTTGGAATTTAAACTAAACATGACTACCATTCAGCACTACCAAGTTACCAAGTCTTTCAAGCTGTATGAACTAGATACCACTACAATACAATTCTGTAGTAATATTTACAATATGTAAAAAAAAAAACAATTGCCTGCCCATCTATTGCGCGCGCCACCTCTGTACTACGCAAATAACAACAAAAAACAAAGAAAAAAAGTGATAGTAATAATAATAAAAAACATTTGATTGCTATCAAGTTTAGCTCTGAGTACAAAAGGTTCATACGTGACAGCGTTACAGAAAAATTATTTAGCTCAGTATTTAGCTAATCACGCGGATTAAAATGGTTGATATCAAGACAAATATTAGTTTTGCGTGTCAACGTTGTTTACAACCACTAAGACTCGATCCCAGTTTTGATCACCTTGGTGAACACACACTAGCTGAATTATCACGTAGGTAATTTCTATTTTCAACAGTAAACAGTAAACTTCTAAATACATTCATACTATTGTATATTATAGAATTGAATATTTTGCTTTGACTCATTTGTTAATGCAATCATTTTTTTTATTAATGTCAATAAAAAAAAATTAATAATTAATTGTCCTAATTACCTGTATCCAGTTCCCCTATCAAGTTCATATAAATAATTTTAATAGACCATTGATTTTCTAAGAACTAAAAATATTTACATGAAAATTTTCTCAAGAAAAAAAATTATTTTAATGCTTTATTGTTAGAAATTTTCTAAAAAAATTTCTTAGTCTCAAAATTAAAAAAAAAAATATTGAATAGAATTTAATTTGAATTTTTTTTCTTAATTAAAATTTTTTATATTTTAAATAAATTTTAGAGTTTAATAATATTTTTTTTTAGTTTTTAGTCAGTAGTAATTTTATTTATTTATTATATTAATTTTTTTTAGTTCCAATTCAACAACAAGTTGTAGGTGAAATAGAACCACAAAGTGGTAGCCTAGAACATTTAGTACCACCATTTAGACTTACGGAATCAGCAAATGGAACCAATGGTTTTATGCTGGTTGGAGATTCTGGTGAAACTGAAAGCCTTAGTCATCATTTGAGGGTAAATTTGTCACTATTATGATATGATAAAATAATTCAATATTTTATATTTTATTTAGAACTATTTATAATTTTTATTATTGATATATAATGACAATAATTAATTATGAACTATTTCATCCTAATAACTAAATACAACAGTATTCATTGATATTTTTCATATAAAAGATTAAATACTTTAATTAAAAGTAAAAAAAAATTTTTATTAAAATTTTTTCATTGGAGAAAATAATTGCAGGTGCGAGCGACGTTATTCGACATCCTAAGTAGCAGCAGTGCTGCAGATCATCCTCTTTGCGATGAATGTACTGACAGTCTCCTGATGCTGATAGACCAGCAGCTCCGAATGACAGAGGGCGAGTGGTCCGATTACAACGAGTACCTAAAGAAGCTAGAAGCTGAACAGCAGCAGCTCAATAATGACAACGGGGAGTTGGAGATGCTGGCTAAGGAGCTGGCTGATGTTAAAGCTGAAGAGGAACGAATGATCCAGGAGTTAGAGGCCTTGAGGAAGGAAGAAGCTGCCACGATAAATGCTATCGCTGAACAGGAATCCGAGCGCGAGAGGTTGGAGACCGAGGAGGAGAGGTACTGGAAAGAGTACTCCAGGCACAGGAGAGATTTAATTTTAGCTGAAGAGGAATGTCGAAGGTATTTTTCTTTCTTTTTATTTTCTTTATTCATTGTCTGAGTAATTAAAATGACGATCAAGTATGAGCGACCCACCTTTTGACCTTTGTACATTTTTTATGATTTTATAAATAATTTTGGTATTTATAAGGTGATATCTACTTTGAGTTATTTTAGACTTGACCTAATGAAATTTTTTTATAAGTAAAAAGTTATTTATTTCTTAAAATGTAAAAAGATAACCAATACTCTAAAATATTATATAAAAGTAATTATCAAAATTTTTATTTTTCAATTTATTGATAAATTTTTTAAAGAAATTTTTTAGTAATAATTGTAAAATTGAAGTATTTTTGTTTATAAAAAATTTATTAACTAATTATCATGAAATGTTGTTTAAATATTTTTTTTTTTTCAATTATTGTAAAATAAACTTATTTTTTATTATTTAAAATTTATAAAGTAATTATTAAAATTAAAAAATTCAAAAGTTATTTATCTCTCAATAAATTTTCTAAAAATTATATTTGAGTATTTTATTTACTTTTTAATAAAGAGAAAAAGTGAAATAAAAAAAAAGTGAAATGATTTATAAAATAAATGAATAATTTTTTATAATTTTAGTTTGGAATGTCAATTAGCCTATGCATCATCCCAATTAGAAAGACTGAAAAAAACGAACGTATTCAATGCCACATTTCACATTTGGCATTCAGGTCACTTTGGTACTATTAATTCATTCAGATTGGGTCGTTTGCCAAGTGCACCTGTAGATTGGAGCGAAATAAACGCTGCTTGGGGTCAGACCACACTATTGCTCTCAGCGCTTGCAAGAAAGATGAACTTGACATTCCAACGTTTTCGTTTGGTGCCTTTCGGTAACCACAGCTACATCGAGGTCCTTGACCAGCAGAAGGAGTTACCACTCTATGGAAGCGGAGGGTTTAAATTTCTCTGGGACACCAAGTTCGACGCTGCTATGGTTGCATTCCTGGATTGCTTGCAGCAGTTCAAGGAGCAGGTGGAAAAAGGTGACAGTGGATTTTGTCTACCCTACAAGATGGATCGAGGAAAAATCGAGGATTCGGCTACTGGGAACTCATATTCTGTCAAGTAATTTAAATCATTGCTGTTTATTTATTGCAAAGATAAATTTATTGGAAGAAACTTACTTAATTTATATTTAACTTTAATTACGAGCTAGTATTTAAATTGTTTATATTTTAAAATAATTATTGTTATTGTTATTATTTCAGAATCCAATTCAATTCTGAAGAGCAGTGGACCAAGGCACTAAAATTTTTGTTGACGAATTTAAAGTGGGGCCTGGCTTGGGTCAGCTCACAATTTTCAAAAGACGAGGCTGAGCATTAATTATTGCTAAATATTAATTACAGTGTAATTTAAACTTAAGTAACTTTAAATATTTAATTTTTACAAAGCCTCTGTAAATAAATAAACATTTTTGTAAATAAATTATCTTGAAAAAACAGTGATTATTTTAATTATCTTTTAAAATTTTAACAAGAAAATTTATTAGAAAAAATGTAGCTTGGATAGAGAGTGGCCTAACTATAACGATCCTTCTTGGCGTTTAAAAACCAAATGACACCATAGAGAAAACCTGCTGGACTTTGAACTTCACCTGACGATATGTAAGCATTTGCTTCCTCCGGAGACATTTCAATTACTTCGATTAACTCGCCTTCTGATTCAGCTCCTCCGCCTTTTATTCAGAAATGAAAATAAAATAAGACCAATAATATTAACCTTCAACCTCGATTAATTAAATTCATCAACATTCTACTCATACGACAGACATCAGCAGTCACTGCATACTCTGATTTATTGAATAAAAAAACAAACAATCACCTAACACCAACTATCGCTCACAGACTGATAACTAATCCCAATCACTAATCATTTATGACGTTTCATATTTACTTTCATGATAACAATTTATAAATAAATTATCATTGTTAAATTTGATGGATAGATTTTAAAGAAAAAGATTTTTTTTTCTAATGAAATTAAAAGCAAATTTTGGTTTTTATGAAAGAAATTTTTAAGAGTGTAAAAATTTTTACTGCCAAAATGAAATTTTTTCTTGGAAATTATTGAAATGTAAATGAAAATTAATGAAATGTATAATCAATAATTCAATAATTATAAATTTAAAACAACTTACCAGGATGCTTACGCATTTCGTCAGTCACTTCAACGTAAAATATCGTCCGTTTGCCAGTTGTACTTCCGATGTCACTGTAAAAAAGTAGTAAATTATTAAAGTAAACTTTATTAAATTAATAAAACAAAAATTAAAATATTTAAAAGATAAAGATTGTTTATGGATTATTAAATTGGATAAAAGCAATCAACCGTGTACCGGTAAGTAATGATGTGAGTAAAAGCTGATGGTGGTGCTTCATATCCGCATTCTTCGCGTAATTCAATCCCCGCAATCTCGATAAGCGGCAAATCTTTATCAACGATACCCGCACAGAGTTCCAAGGTCAGACCCTGTTCTAGTGGGTACTTAGCAGTGTCAATATCTTGGAATTTTTCTGGTAGACTAGCGTAATAAGCTGCTGGACGGAATTGCCGTACAAACACAAGTTTTTTTCGTGTTACATTAAATATTATTATTGATACGCTGTCGTGGACTCGTGATAGGTCCCAATTTTTTTTCTCGCCGTTTTGGTAAAAGCTCATTCGCGCTGGTCTTAGCCACGGCGAATCCGCGGGCATCGGCTCTAATTTCAAGTTCTGCATGTCGAGCATTTTTCTGCGTATCACAGTGTTACGCTCCTCTAGCGTTTTATTGTCCGACATTTTTTAATTTATGACTTAATTTATTATCAATTAAAATCAATGTTACTTTATATAATACAATATATTTTATATTATACTTTTGTTTTTGGCTTGACGGCTATGTATGTATATAGCTGTCACGATGTTTTTGATTGTTTTTCGATACACACATCACACACACTGTCAAATTTTTTAAACACCAGTGTCTTTAGGTTAGTTATTACAGCATCCTCTACTGGCCTTACTTTAACACCGCGAGCGGTAAAAACTTACAACTTGTTGGGGTCATCTGAGTGATCCGAACGGAAATGTAGCCAATGTAATAATTGTAAAGAAATTCAAAAAGTAACTTGCTCTCTAACAAGTTATATACATTTAATACTTCTTACATAACACTTAATGTATGTCAAATAATAGTAAATTCTATATAATAAAATACACACATTAAAACATTTAAATATCATATTTGTGAAAAAAATTAAACTGTAACCCATGAATTATTACAAAAGAACGACAATTGATCTGTCTTCTAAGTTTTCTAAGTCATAAGTAAGAAATTAGTTGTAAATTTTTTTAGGTATTAACTGGCGGTGGAGGAAATTTAAATTATATAATCTAAATTCAAACGCAACCTTTTTATTCTAAATAAGAATAATTCTTCTTGAAAATTTTTATTGTTTTTATTTATTAAAATATTTAAATATTGATTACTAAAATAAAACAAAAAATCGCTTATTTAATGGGAAATTATTTATTTTTCTTTATAAAGTAATTTTTTTTTTTTTTAATTCTATAAAATATTAAAATCAAACTGTTCTTTAATTTGTTTCAGCTTAAACTATTATTTATTTTTACACCTTCTCAACATTTATCAATGATTACGTTCTTGTCATATGAATATTATGAAACAAACAATTATTTTTTATATATATGTAATTAGAATAACATAAGAAGAAAAAATTATTTATTTAAATATAATTCGTTTAAACTTAGATTAAAGTTAAAAAAATATAGGAATATCAGATATAATTAGTAAGTTCAAAAATATTAAAAAATTAAAAAAAAAAGATGTTTTTGTTCCTTTAATATTGATAAATTTTGAGAAAGTGTATAAATAAATAATAGTTTAAGTTGAAACAAATAAAAAACAGTTTGATTTTAATATTTTATATAATTAACAAAAAATTACTTTATAAAGAAAAATAAATAATTTCCCATTAAATAAGCGATTTTTTGTTTTATTTTAGTAATCAATATTTATATATTTTAATAAATAAAAACAATAAATATTTTCAAGAAGAATTATTCTTATTTAGAATAAAAAGGTTGTGTTTGAATTTAGATTATATAATTTAAATTTCCTCCACCGCCAGTTACCTAAAAAAATTTACCTTACCGACAACTAATTTCTTACTTATGACTTAGAAGACTAAGAAGACTTAGAAAACAGATCAATTGTCGTTCTTTTGTAATGTTTCATGGGTTACAGTTTAATTTTTTTTCATAAATATGATATCTAAATGTTTTAATGTGTGTATTTTATTATATAGAATTTACTATTATTTGACATACATTAAGTGTTATGTATGAAGTATTAAATGTATATAACTTGTTAGAGAGCAAATTACTTTTTGAATTCCTTTACAATTATTACATTGGCTACATTTCCGTTCGGATCACTCAGATAACCCCAACTTGTTATTAAATAATTCCGCGGGAAATGTAAAAAAAAAATTAAATAAATGGTACTGATTTTTAATTTTATTTAAAAAATAAACAAGTGCCGAAAAAACATTTCATAAAAATCACATTAATAGTTTTCTACATGTAGAATTTTTATTAAACTTTTTTTGCAATAAATTTTTTACTGAAAAAAAATTCTAAAAATCTCAATATGACAAATAAATGACAATGTCAGAAAACTTTTATTAGAAACATTCCTAATTAAAAATTTAAGAAATATTTATCAAGAAAAAATGCCCATACATCAAAAATTTATTCAAAAAATGTACATACAAAAAAAATCAGCTTTTTTATCAAAACAATTTATCTATAATAAATTCACTTCTTTTTTTTCTTCTTACTTTTCCGTGACTTAACTTTCCTAACCTCCGGAACTAACGGTTGAAAGGCATCTAAAATATCCTGCTGTCTAACCTGAGTGTCAACATGAACAACATCTGGTTTTTTCTTCGCCCGATTAAGAGCCGCGGGGGGTGAAAATTCAATATCCATATCAGAAGCCACCGAGCTAGAAGCACCTGAAGCGTCATCTCTATTCGGAGCAATTTTAAACTGTACCGGTTTCATCGGTTCGTCTAGGACAGGCGTGTTTTCGCTCTCCTTTTTCACCGGGTACATCGTAAAGTAATAAATTCCATCCCTCCTCTGTATATACAATGTCGGAGGTGCTTTGAAATCCTCCGCATTGAAGTTAAATTTCCTCGGCTGTTTTTTCTTCAGCATCGTCGAACTCTTGGTCTTCAATTTCTTCCCAATTCTCATCGCAGAAGGCACCGAAGCAGGTCGATTGCGTTTTTCAATCAGCCCAATCTTCGCCGCTTGAATCATCTCCCGAATTTGCTTCGAAATCGCTCCAGGTCTCCAACCAATTCTCGGTTTCAGTCTACCGGTAGGTTGATACTCAGTCCAGAACCAGCCCATGTGCGCAGGAACTCTCCTTAACCGATCATTGCAATTTTTGTGCCCGTAAAGCCGTTCCGAGTGCGAACGACTTACAAAACCAACATTAACTCTCTTTCTGATCTTTCTCTTCTTAGGCTTCTTGATACTTTTTCTAAACCCGTCACCTCGAGGACCCGCATGGTAAACTTTTTGTCTGTTAAATTTATATTTTCTATCTTTATCTCTATCTCTATCTTGATGTCTAGCTTTCATCAGATAACTTTTCTTCTTCGGTTCATCAACATATTCAACGGGAGTTTCAACACCTTCAGTCACCACAGTCTCACGATGAACTTTTTTACGCCTCGCTTTGCATTGACGTTCTCCACAAGGACCAATAGCATCAGCTGTATTTAATTCGTCGTTATATTTATCTTTATCTCCATAATTATATCTACTATAATTATATTTATAATTATAATTATCATCATCAGATACAGCTGCCTCACGAACAATTCCATTTCTGCCCGGCACCGCAATAGTAAAAGGCGTAGCTTTAGTCCACGGTGACGTTGATGCTGATGTGCAAGGATTTCCTTCATCTGGCAGCTCATCTCTGATCCTCTTAAAATCTCGCGGGGCGCGATAGTAAGGACTCGCTGAAGGATCCATCAACCCCAGGCCAGGCAGACCCGGGACTTTGCCCAGTGAATCCACAAATTCTTGGGCTTCTTCAAATGCCCTGGTAAGACAGTCGATGTGCGGGCACTTTTTCCGTCGGCATGTATCCGAATGCTTGGTGCTCTTACGTGAATTCAAAATATTCCTCTCGTCACTGGACCCTGGGCACGTACTTTTAAACCTTGAAGACAAATAATAAGTTTGAATTTGATTGCTCGCAGCGATATCGTCATACCTCATTGGATATGTGGAATTCTTGGGGCATTCATTCAATGCTAGACCTCGCCACTCACTGTTCTTGAGTTCCTCGACACCTCTGGTTGGTTTGCCAGGGTCTTCTTCTCTGGTACTGCCACCGCCGCCTCTAATTCTCTCCTCTGAACAGTAGGTACCATTGTAAAGTTCATTGCTTGGTTGATTTTCAACACAATAGCGAGACATAAAGTGTAGTACCTTGTCATCGTTACCATTGTTCAAGCCTTTTCTTTTCTTTCTTTCTTCAACAGTACTTGGTGTTTCAAATCGTTGTTGTCCTTGTTGTTGTTGTTGTCGTTGTCGCCATCTAGTCGTCCACGCACTAGAACAGCATGAACTTGCACAACCACCACACCGAACAGGGAAGTCCGAGCGTATTTTACTGGATTTGTGATTGCGACTATCGATATTCCCATTATTATTACGGCTATTGCACCAACCACCATACCGTTCCGCATTCGTGGGTGAACAGCACCCGCATGTTCGCTCGTTTGGATACAACTGATAAATTAGACGCCGATACTGGCTGTCGTTCAATTTCTCAGCTTCCGTTAGGCTTTCAAATTCCAGGTCGTTTATACCGATTTTTGGCGCTTCTGGTACTTTAAACAGTGACTTTATTAATTTTATTTCATCGGGAGTGAAGGATAATTTTTTATTCATTATTCATTATTTTATTTTACACAATAATTTATCATGGTTTAATTTTTACGAAAGAGGTTAAAATATTTATGACATTTTTAATTTTATTGTATATTGTTATTGTTAATTTAATGTATTTTATTTAAATTCAGTTGTCATGACAACGCGTCGAGATTTCTGCAACATCGACTGGGCCGTGAAAAAAGTAATTGGTTCCTCAGTTTGCCTCAATGAGGCGCGAGCTGTCTTTCAGAAAGCCGAACTAGGATATTATTTGTTGAATGTTTATTTCTTTTTCTTCTTTTTCTTCTCTGTCTTACTTTTACGAGGGGCTTTGGCTTTAATTTCTTGATTTTCAGGAGTTTCAGGATCAACTGTCTGACCTTCCTCTCGATCTGGCTGAGGAACCGGCGGAATAAGAACAGGAGGCGAATACTTTCCTTTCAACTGATAATTTGTAACTATAAATTTACCTTTGCAGGTAATTTTAAAATCAACTTTTATTTTGCCAGCTGGATTACCACCTGGATCTTTTAGATCCCAGCAGCCATTTAGCGCATAAGGTTCTGGCATATGCTTGCTATCATTCATAGCCATTGCGAATTGATCGCATATGCAACCGGTAAATAGTACAGTCGTCTCAGCAATCGGATACATATCACAATTACAAAACACACCGATTCTCAGCGGCGTCGTTTGCATTTCACGGAGAAGATCACGCGGTCGTTTACCAAAGACACATGATTTACCGGATTCGTATATAAATACTGTGTTCCCATCTTCAGTCTCACGTTGCTTTTTCTCTTCTTGCACTTGCCCTTGTTCATCGTCTGTCTTCTCTTTTTCACTCGGAGTTAAAATAGATTCAAAGTCATTCAGTGACATTACAAGTACCGGCAATGACAGAAATTTTATTTTTACTAGAAAATCTTTGTTTGTCGCCTCGTGGATTTTTTCTTTCGTTAATTCTAAATCATGGACACCTACTTCTACTAAATATAATATTTCTTCTTTTATACTTTCCATTTTATAATTTATATTTAAGATTTATCTATCTTAATAATTAATAACCTAAGCCTTATAAAATTTTGACGTAAAAAAAAACAAATGACTTTAACTTTAAGTTGAGTTAAAAAAGAAATCTTTAATATGAATAATCCTTCCGCATAAATAAAATAAAATTAAACTCTTACTTATGGGTTTTGAAATTGAATAACCATGGTATGGTATATAATAACAGTAATGAAGTTTAATATTGAATTGCAACATAATAAATAGACGCGCTTAACATTAAAGTATTTTCCCGTCAGAAATATCGATCACACGGTGATGATCCATCTCTTGTATTTATCAATAAACCTCCACACACACAAACACTGATGCATAAATGCATCCCTTTCTCTTTTTGTGAATCTTTATATTATAATGCATGTCTTACAGATAGAGAAGGTTGTTTTTATCTTGAATATTAACGTCAGTACAGCGGCATCAGAATCATTGGATAGGAGCAACAGCAGCTAAGCGCGATCGATGTCTCACGGAAAACCCGGGCAAGTAGATCCTATCAATCGACATACATACACCAGTTGAGCGTTTAATTTAAGTTAAAGCTCAAGAATCAGAATAATAACAATAATAATAATAATCATAATAATAATCATAATAATAGCAATCTGAAGACTGAATATAAGAAAGAGAAGAGTTAAATATAGATATGGATAATGTAAGGATAAGAAGAAAAAGACAACGATCAAGGTTTCCTTATTCTTTCTGGCACGACCGACAGGTTACGAGGAGACGACTCTCCGCTCGAACTCTCACCGTACCAGCCATAAGATCTGTACACATTACATTCTATTCCCTATACCTATAGTCCCCTTGATCTAACCCGTACCCGCGATCAGCAAGTCTAGCGTACACAACACCATGCTCCGTTATAAATTTAATAACAACAATGATCCAGAGGAGTCTTAGTCTTAGGCCAAGATTCACCAGATTCCTTTCTCTCCGATTAATATAAGACGAGTTCCAGTTATTATTATACTTATAAATATAAATATAAATATGAATCTGTCTCTGAAGCAAAATCCGCGCATTAATTTATAAATCATACAATAATAATAATAATAAATAAGAGTATAAATTTATATGTTAAAATTAAAAATAAGGGTCACCTTGAAAGTTAAAAGTTTCTGGGAGATTTAGCTGGTACCTAAAATCTGCCGCCATTACTCGGGTATTCTTTCTCGCTTTATTTTATTTACACGTGTGTAGTGTGTATTTGTTTGTCTGACTGCCGGTGTGTAAATCTTTAAATACACGGAGAGGCTAGACACACAAAAAGGCACATACATATATACACACATATGTATTGTATGGGTATGTATACAGTCGTCTCGACAACGTGCTGAAGTATGCACTAATTGGTGCGGTCACTCGGACACAGGCAGCCGAGTACGAGGTAAGGCCTCTCGATACCCTTGCTAAGAAACACGCGAATACGCGTACCGGCTTATTGGTGAAACATACGGCAACAATATAGCCCGGTGGAAGTATACTGTAAAGGCTCATCTGGAGTTGGTGGCGAAGGGAAGCAAAAGCCGAAGTTAAATTCCGAGGTACGACGACACGGCGGCTCGTTAAAATGCTTCTGGGGGTTTCGGACGGTGGACGCTCAGTTAATTGGTGATTAGCGATTAAAACGAATCGATCCCTTAGCTTCTCGAGTAGTTGTTGAGGAGCGGCCCAACGGAGTTGAGACAAAGCCTCCAAAGACTGGCAGTCCAACTTATATGCCACCTTAAATATATATATATATATATATATATATATATATATATCTGCTGACAATCGCTTCCATCCAACTGGAAAGAGTATTTTATACCCCGATGATTCATTTTATAAAACTTTGTATTTTATATTTTAATATTATATATTATATGTTACATTAATTAATTAGCAAGACGAGATTAGAGAGAAGATTAAATTTTAGGATTGGAGGCTGAATAAAAGTTTCCTTGAAATCAGCTCCATCGAATTAATATCAATGACGATTTTATTTATTTAATTAATATGTTTGCTTTTTAACAAGTTTGTTCCTCTGTTTTTTTTTTTTTTTTATTTACTTAAACTTGGTTTACCTTGTAATTTATAATTTATAATTTATAATATATGATAATTAAATAGCTCGACATTTACAACTCAACAGCAAGTTTGCATCCTAACCCAAATTCGTCTCGCACGAAACGATTTTCTCCTGTCGTCAACGGGACGGTACGACAACTTAAACACAGTAACAGCCACGCTAAAAACCTATATAATACCATCAACCATTACATCTTACACTGTACTGCTTATCCTCTCGGGCTGTGTACACTATTGCTATTACTATTACTATTACTGTTACTATTACCATTGCTGGTATTATAGTTATAGGTTATAGTAATGTGTAGTACGTACAACACTAAACAGAGAAGAGCTCAACGCCGCGGTGAAACCTTCATCGTGCACCGAGCTATATCCCACGACATTATTTCTTCCTCTACATCACCGTGTCGTCGCACGAAATACTCTTTACTCTTTATAGGTATAAATACCTACATACATACACTAAAAGAGTATATCGTAGTACTTGGTGTTTACTATTTGCAAATACAAATGTATATTGCCTCTCTAATGGCAAAAATTTATGCAATTATCACAATTATTTTACGTTATTTTTTTTTTTTAATTTTTTCCAAGTAAAAATTTTATAGAATTTTGATGAAAAATAAAAATATTAAGTAGTAAAAAATAAATACAATACTTAAGAGCACCCATAATACGTAACGAACCATAAATGCGATTTAAACACACGTAACACGCCATTTAAATAATTTTCTCCTACCGTTGGAGTAATCGAACTTAAATTTCCCACTTACACAATACACCCATTACCGATTCTAAATAACCGGCATTGCATACCTTTTAGAGACACCAAATAAGCATCCGAACAATTAATCCAAACAATTAATAACTCTAATACGTTTAGTGATCTACATTTGGAGACAAAAGCATACCAGGAAGCTGTAAATAGGAATTACCGTATCTCCGTGGACTACCAGGATGAGAAGAAAGAAAGGGGAGGAGAGAGATAAAGAGAAAAGGATCTTCTCTTCTATAAGGCAAAGGCTTTGGCTCTGTATCTGGTTGGCTTGCTCTTCTCAAGTGAGGTCAGAGGGCGATAGCGGTACTGGGATGCTGGCTCTTGGACTTGGAGGAGACCGACTAAGAAGAACGAAGAAGGTTACGATAAAGAATAATAAGAATAAGACACTACTATCCGCGTCTCCTACATACCGATGCAGCTTTTACCTCTTCTCGACTCAATACTACACAAATGTTCCATTGAATCCCGTGACTTAACACGAAAATAATTCTCTTTTCTGTTTCCATCTACAGAAGGTCTTTCTCCTAGTTCGGACATTCCGTAATTTAATAATTCCTCAATGTTGAAATTGAAAAAAAAATAATTGATATTAATATGAGTTTGAAAAAATGTAAGAAGAAATTGATTCACTTGAGACAAATATTTTTTTCCCTGCGGTGAGCGAAAAATAATTTAAGTTAATTTTGTTCCGCGAACTCATCTAAGCATCAGCATCCTCAGAACCAGCAGAAATGCACCGGTACAGGTTCAACAGGTACAACCTAAAAAATACGAATAAAGAAGCAAAGGTGTATCATCAGCATGTTTCTTTGAGACTTATCCGCAAGCGTAATGTGATTTTTTACTCATCCAATTTGAGGGGATATGCGAACTATTATGTGCGTTCTTCTCTACATGTACACTTAGTAGGATCCACATCCTTATTCATATTCACATTAATACACACTCAAATATCCTGGCAAGAGTAAGAAAGACTGAGGCTGAAAATGAGGGAAAGAAAGATGAAAGAAAAAACATGTGTGGAGTAAATTAGTGTGTGTGGTACTATACTTGATTCATCGGGACTGTGTACTTATTAATGAGGTAGCCAAGATATGGGTTTGGATGCATGCTAAAGTTTTATACTTGGGTATAACATATCCTCAGCAGAGTACTTTTTACCTCTTTCTCTTTCATTCTTTAATAATCTATATAATGTGCAGTCTGTAGCTCACTCGGTTGGCGCAGGTAACCGCAGATTGACAAGACACTCGCAAGAAACGTGAATTATCCGAGTACGAGTACCAGTCTACTGGTACGATAAACTCAAGTATGAGAGCTTACACACCGAACCGAAGCAGGAGCAAGAGCAGAAGCTGAAACTTAAGAAGAAAAAGAAAAAGAAGAAGAATAACTTTGCACGGCAAGCATTACATCAGCTCGCCGGTACGGTAGTACGAAAAATATGGCTCCTTCTCGTGTCTTCGCTCGAATTATTTTTCAATTTTCTGAGACCGGTATGTCCGGTCGCACGATCGGTTCAATGCTTTTTATTACCATGCGCTTCATACTTTTATAAATATATGGGTGTATAAAACATAAATAAATCTACAGCAACATATGTAGCTGTACTTATAGTTATTTGAAAGTGTACAAAGAGGGATGTTGTGTTGTTATGTAGGTACTCGGGGTCTCTACTCGGGTTAGCTAGACCGACATACACCAGAACGAGCATATTCACCGGCTTAATTTTATGCCATTAAAGTTTCCACTCGATGAGGATACGGGAATTGTCGTGACTAAATTGGAGTTGAAAACTATTAAATAAAAATTTAAAACTCGTCTTATGCTTTGATACAAATATATATCTATTCTTTATAGAGAGGACCGGAGAACAGAAAAAGAGAGAGAGAGACGGTGCAGTATGAGTAGAACAAGATGAGAGACGTAAGTTAATGAAGCTAAGTCACGATATTAAATCGAGAGCGTAAATATACTACGATGTGGGGTAAGCCGCGAGGCACACGACGCCAAAGAGATAGATCTAGCCATCGTGGCTTGTTATTATCGTGTAAACGGGTATGGAGCGTCTTGTGTCTTGTGTGAGAGAAAAACTTGGTCTCTATTATATTATATATATATATATATATACATATAGACACATATATACTATTACTCTTATCCCGCTGCTGTATGCCGTATGCCGTACGAAACTAGGATCCCCGAAGTAGGTAAACGGTGAATGGTGTTCTGTTCAATTGGTCCTGGCAATAATTCTTCCTACCGTCTACCGTTTGTTAGTTACTTACTCACGGTTGTTTACTTATTTTTACCAAAAGTTTATTTTATCTCGGTCTCTCTCAATCTAAATTTCTCTTGGGATTTTTTTTGCATAAAACTTTCCATCATATACCATACAAACTGCACGGTACAGTGATGTATTGGCTTTAAGCTATATACACTGTCGATATTACATGTACAACGGTGCGTGGATCGGCATTACATGCGCGTGCGAATAAATCTACCAAAGTAATGCTGTAATAATACAAGTGCGTAAGCCAATGGCCAATAAGATTAAACTGTTTCAATTGCAATAGCTGAGCTGGTTATCGCCCGGATATATATAATAAACTCGTGTCAATTCCTACACTTGACGTATCAGAAATCGATGTGTCATCTATTGTATTGTATTGGATTGTTTTGTATTATAGTCCATGGGGTTTATGGTTTATATATAAATCAATATGTATGCTATTGTTAATAAATAAACAAAATGTCTTGTATTATTGTTTTCTACTCGACTTTTATTATTTTTATTCATCAGAAAATCTGAGATTGCAGGGACTGAATTTTATAGAAAAATTTTTTATTAAAAAGTAAAAATAGTAATACTGATAATAAGAGTAAAAAATAATTGTTACTTAATCAGAAAAGAATAATCTTAAGTAATTGATAATATTTTTATTGTTATTGTGATTATGCATGGCAATAAATTATAACTTGGCAAAGTTAAGGTTTGATTAAGTAAAACAATTTAACGATTTATGATTGTAATAATATTTAAATGTAATACTTCATTAAAAAGTAATTTAATAGATAAGAATCGTGATGACAGGTATATGAAAAGAAATAAAAATAAAAATTTTAATTTAATTTGCTGAGCAAACATATTATCAGCTGCGTATATTACATTATACATTTGTAATTAGGTGATATATTTCACTGAATAAATTATATCATAAATGTATATATTTATCCGTATTGTATATACAGATATACATTGATATGAAAATTGTGTGTATAAAAACCTGTTGTTAATTTATATTTTGTACAGATATATTTACGACAGTAAGAATTCAAAATGGTATCACTAATTTCGACTGCTGTTAACTTGCTGGTTTTTGTTCTCATTACCATCAGTACTGCCGGTAAGTTATTTGTTTTATTACTTTTCATTTGTATTCTTACATCATAATTATATATATATATATATATATATATATATATATATATAATTTTTTTATCTAATGAGTAGATGGACGAGCACCCGCGAAAGTATTGGAGGGAACTGATGCTGAGCCGGAAAAGTTATCGTATATGGCGTCCCTAAGGAGACATAACATACACATTTGCGGAGGGACTTACATCAGTCCTTGTCATGTTCTTACTGCGGCTCATTGTTTCGTGGGACGTGCTGATCCACCGTATACGGAAGGGCTCGTGGTCGTAGGAAAAGCTGCGTTAAATCGGTATGCTGGAGTAACTCATGAGGTTGAAAAAGTAACGCCTCACAGTGGTTTCGAAAGGGGGACTAAAAGCCGATGGCGCAATGATATCGCTGTTGTGAAGGTAATTTTTTTAATTTCGGGTAGAAGAGGCTTTAAAAAATTTTTATTATGGAAAAGATGATTCTCAGAAAAAAAAAATTAGGAATACGGTTGACCCTGAAGGCCATCCCTGCAACTTCCCGCCAATTCTATACCTAACGCTTGAAATTGCACTTATGACGTTTTAGAGCTCTTCGAGGGCTTAAAAGTTTGATAAAACACTATTTTTTTTATTTTCAAATCGTAATAACTTTTGAATGAATGAACCGATTTTCACGTGGTTGGCGGCATTCTACGCAGTTTTTTAAGCCTCATAAAGAATTCTTAAGTTTTAATCGGTTAAACTAGAAATTTCAGAGTAATTCCGAAAAAAACACTTTTTTCGGTTTTTTTTTCGTTCACGATATCTCTTGAACGAATCAACCGATTTTGACCGGATTGGCGGCAATCGACGTGGTTTTTTAAGGTTGAGAGCTGATTAATTTTTGGAAGTGATTGGTGAAGCCATTTAAGAGATTTTTTGAAATTTTTCGTTTTCGATATCTTACGAACGAATCAACTGATTTTAATCGGTCCAACGGTGATCGTCGTGGTTTTTCAAGGTTAAGAACTGATTAGTTTTTGGAAGTGATCGGTGAAGCCGTTTAAGAGATTTTTTAAAAAAATATTTTTTTTGAAATTTTTCGTTTTCGATATCTCACGAACGAATCAACCGATTTTGACCGGTCCAACGGCGATCGACGTGGTTTATCAAGGTTAAGAGCTGATTAATTTTTAGAATCGATCGGGAAAGCCGTTGAAAAGTTATTTCAAAAAACAGCTTTTGAAATTTTTGATTTTTGAAATTTCCCAAAATTTAGCTAACCAAATCGATTCAGATTTTTACGAAATCTAATGACACTCGCGATGAAATCGGTCAAGTCGTTCAACAGCGTACAAGTAAGTAGTTACACACACACACACACACACACACACACACACACACACACACACACACACACACACACACACACACACACACACACACACACACAGCCGCACGGACACCATCGCGGGAATAGTCAGGGAAGCTTCCTAGGACCTTAAAACGTCGAGATCTGATGAAAATTCGATTTTTGCAAAACGGGGTGAAAACAATAACTTCCCGATTTTTGAAAATCTGAGATTTTTAGCGGGAAGTTAAAAAATTTACATTTATCGTTTAAAAAAAAATAAAAAATGTAACTATTAATCAAAAGTCTTGAACTGCACCGAGAAATTGAATAATTTTTACTTAAGATAATTAAATAATGACAACTGCCTTTATTTTATTGCAGTTGAAAAAAAACATAACGATCAGTCCATATGAAAAACCTATAGCTTTGCCAACAGTAGACACACCGAGTGAAATAATAGCGATACTAAGTGGATGGGGACAAACAACTTTGCGAGGTGCAGAGACAGACCGACTTCAACAAATGATGGTTCATGTAATTTCTAACGAAGAGTGTAATAAGAGGGATGCTGATGTTCTCTCATCCAATTTGTGTGGATACAATGGTCGCGGACATGGTTTTTGTAATGTAAGTTTTATAAATTAGTTAGTTAATTATCTAATTTAATAATAAACTAATTGAATGTATATCAAGGAAATTAATTAACATGACATGTTTATTTTCAGGGTGATAGCGGTGGTCCTTTGGTCTATGATGGAACTATTGTCGGTATTGTTTCGTTTTCCATAGCCTGTGGGTCAGGATATCCAGATACATACACTCGTGTTTATCATTACATTGATTTTATTAACAAAACTATGAACGAATCATAAATTATTTATGGGAATCCAATCGAATGAATTCATTGTTATCGATTGTAAAGTAATTAAATTATATTGTTAAATATTATTATATCAATTTCATGACCTTATTATTGTAATTAAAATAAATACTCCTTGGACTCACAAAAAATCAATGTTTATGATAATTTGATAATTAATTATTAATTAATTGTCACCAGGGTACATATTTGTTATTTGTGATTGAATGAAATTATTTTTTAATGAATTAAGAGAAGAGGGGGCAAATCAAGGTATCCTTAAAAAAGATAAGGTTGAAAATTAAGTTTCAAGGCGAAATAGAAAAAATAAGCTGGGAAGTGAATTAGTTGATAATTTTCGAGAAAATTTTATATTATTTTTGGAAAAATTTTTTTTTTCGTCACTTGCGTATTTTGACTTTATTGTATCGATCATAAAATAGAGTTGATATTTATCCTAATATAAAATAGAGATGAAATGTATGTGGCATCAAACTATTCGTAACGTGATTGGTTGAATATATCATAAGCATGAAAATATATGCAAACTCTATAGTCAAGGCGCGCGCTTGCGCGCGTAAATTCAAATTCTAGTATTGATAAAAGAAGATATTTTTTTTTTTTATTAATTCGTTCTTTTCAACTGTCAATAATTTAAAATAAAAAATTCTAAGATTTGTTCATTATTTATTTGGATGAAAATAATTTGTTTAATGATATTTAATTTAGTACCAAATAAAATTAAAATAATTAATCATTTTCATAAATTCATTTTGAAGATCAAGTCAAAATTAAATGAGTATTTTAATTAATATCCTCGCGAGAATTTCAATTTTTTAATGAACTGTTATAAATATAATTCAAAATATGTAAAGTTGAAAATTTATTTTACGAAAAAATCTTAGCAAATTTAAACACAAACCCAGCGAAGCGAGTGATTGATAGATAGTATGTAATAAAATGAATAAAATCAAACAGCAGCAATAAAATAAAATGAGAATAAAACAGCGGTAATGACAATAAAAAAAAAGTATCTCAATTTCGTCGTGACGATGAATCTAATAAAAGTAAATCAAAGATATAAATCACAAGAGAGTAGAGCTGTGTATAAATATATATATACATCGGTAGAATCCGGAGCAATATACAAGAAGTCGATCGCGAGGGGCCAGTTATGCACCAGAATGTATAGAGTGTAACAAGGATCGTGATCATCCGTCTATCTGGTATCCGTCGGAGATAGGAGTTGCGCGTACTTCTCACTGGCCAGAGGAGTATCCGAGAAAGCGAGGACTATAAGGACTCCGCTGAGCGAGTAGAAGAAGAAAGACCTACTGTAGTTCAGTTATAGAATAGTACAAGTATAAGGCGATAAAAATTCAAGAGAGAAAGCAAGAAGACGAGCTCAAGCTGGAGATGCACTGAAGCGAGCAAGACGAGGTGCAAGTACCGAGCAAGTGAGAGCTGACCGGAGAGGATGAAAAAAGGAGTGAGATGTAAAAAGGGAAAAAGTCGAGCGAGGGAGTGGACCACTGGGAGGTCACGACCCGTAGCCCGAAGGCCCAGCGCCCGGTGAAAGGCCCGCGGCTATTCCGCTCGTGATGGGCCTTATGTACCTTCCTCCTCTTCAAGAATCAACCATCAATATACAGTATGCAATACACCGATGGACCCGCGCTCTTTACTCTCCTTATTTTTATTTTATCATCCTCTTTCCCTTTCCTATTTTTTATTATTTTGTTATTTAATCTTCTTAAAAAGGTATTACATTATTCTCTGGTTTGCTCTGCTCTGCTCATCTCAAGCCGTCCTATTCTTTGTATTTGCTAGACACCAACTCGCTGTTGCTAAATAATGTAACAGCAACATCACAAACAAACTCATCGTGTTCTTTAACGTTTAATTCGAAGCAATAATCTGTTATTTTAAAAATCGCAAAGATCGTGGTAAACTTTAATCATAAAATAAAGTTACCGAGTGTTTAAATTCTCTTTACATTTTATATTGATAAAAGAACTTACAAAAATTTATGGAGAATATAATAATTAATCAATAAGAAGAATTATGGGTATTTAGAATAAATATTGAGATTATATCAAGTTTTAAAAAATACTACAATAAATTGAAAAAAAAATTAACAAAAAATTGTCGAGCCAAAAAAATTATTTTGAATAGTTCAATTATTTAAAATCAATTAAAATTTCTCAGTTCAAGAATTTTTCTATCGAATCAATTTGTTTTTTTTTTTTTTTCATTTTAACTATTAGTTAATAATAAACATACATGGTTATAACCAATAATACTTCATCTAATTAAATTTTTAAAAGATTAGCTAAATAATAATATTTAATTAAAATAAAAACTCTAGTTTATAACTCTAGAATAAATTATTCTATAGGAGAAATACTAGTAGGATTCATAAGTCCTCCAACTTACCAGTTATAAGTTATAAGTAATAAGTTTTAGTAATCTAAAGAGTACGTAAACGTTGTCTGGCTGAAACCGCCCTTCTACCACTTGGCCCTTAACGATAAAACTACTTGAGTCCTTCTTCCGTGTACGCCTCGGTTTGGCCACCTCTCAGGACCTTGGTATTCACTGTATCATAATATATATACTTCCGTAGGCTAACCCGGTACAGAGGGCGCTGGCAGCCTTTAGTACGGGTCTGATCGGACGATAATTGGATAGATTACGCGGAACCTCCTCCAATAACGATAGCATCGCGTTTATATCATCGTTTAGTGTGTGCTGGCCAGCACCACCCTCGACTGGTATACGTGAATGTATTATCGGGATAAAGATACGGGTGTGGATGTTAAGAAAATACACAAGAGAAGTACCTTCAGCTCTTTGAGTTAAGCGTTGTTATCGCGACAGGGCTTCGCACGTTTCTTCATACTCTCTATATAATACTTTTACATCCTTTACTTTAGATGTCGAGTCTTGGAAATACGTTCAATACCGATACATGCATATATCGAAAAAATTATTTGTTGAGATAAAATAAAATTAGTTGCAGCACAAAATTTTGATGCTAAAATAGTAATAAGAAATTTTAAATACAATAATTTGTACCATGGTCCTGAAAAGAAAGTCCATCAAAATTTATATTGCTCCATATATGATTTTGATCCATCTTGAAATTAATAATTAAATGGTTTAAAACTTATTTAATATATTAAAAAATATTTTCTATGGACATTTTAATTTTTAGCGCTTTAAACATTTATCGAAAAAAAGTTTTAGAAAATCTAAGTACAAAGAAACTCTTCTTAATGTCACCGACGCTCTTCAATCTCTAAAGAATGAATCAGATAAGAAATAGTAAAAAAAAATGTGAGTTTATGGCACATTTGAGATACAGGAACAGAAATTTAGTGCAGAGAGTAGTGTATACTCTAGAGTACCTCGTCATCATTATTATCGACGGATAGGTAATTGGTAATTATCACAGAGTACACGGGCGACTGATACAGCGAACTGGAAGTTTGTCTGTGGTGGTGGCGATGCAGAATCAGTAAGAAGAGGGCATCGGCAGCGTCAGGAGCAAAAGCAGGAGCAGGAGCAACAGCTAGCGACGGGCCCCTGGCGTGGTTTCGTGCGCAATCGCGAAGAGCGGAACGAGATCCCGGCAGGCGATGCCCGAAGCGATCCGAGAAGAAGAAGAAGAAGAAGAAGAAGAAGAAGAAACAGAAGGTGAGCATTGAAGAAGACGAAGACGAAGAAGAAGGTATAGCTGGAGGTGATGCTGGTGCTGGTGATGGAGGACGTGCTGTTGAGATGAGAATGCAAGAGCAGGACAGAGTTTAAGAGTGAGCAGCTGAGAGACGCCTTGGGAGAGATACTTGAACGAAGCCAATCGACGATGAGACCCGCGGCTGTGGGAAAATGATCTCAGGGCAAAAGAAGGCTAGGCTGTATAAAAAGCGTAAAACCGACGATTAAGTGCGGCTTCTCGCGCATGCCCTTGCTTCTGAAAAATCGCGCCACCTTTCTTTCTTTATTTTTATTTCCTTTTAATTTTTTTATCTTTTTCTTTATTTTTTATCGCCTTAACACTTGCCCATTTGGCCGTCTGTTGTCTACTGGTTCAGCCATTGTTTAGCTGTCTAAGTATCTTTGTCTGGCCTGAGTCTCTATATGACAAGAAAATTTAATTATCAATCGGTTTATGAACTCTTCATATCACTCGCTGGTCCTCAACCCAAAATTTGAACTCACACTGACCATTTCAGTCTCTTGTGAGCTTAGAAATGGAATTAGCATGAGCTTCATTTTCTTTTTGCACAGATTTGGTCCCAAGGAATTTATATTGTCCCCGAGTATAAGCTAGCCTGCGAAATATATAACAGCAGCAACAACAATAACAGCAACACAAGTGAAATAAGTGAGTAGCCGCAAAACGAAGGGGTATGGTCACGCGGCAGCCGCAGCCCCGTGACAAATTCATCGAGTCACGCCGACTCACGTGCTCATGCGTTTCCTTAGGTTGTTTGTGCTGGCGTCATCGTATTGCTTCTTATAAATACATATATAGAAATATACACGTATAAATCGGAGGTGTAAGAGTATATTATTACGTACACTTGGGCAAGGTACGACGAGCAAGTAACGCGACGCAGTCATCATGGCCATTGCCAACTTGGCAATAAATTAAAGCTAGGAGAAACGGGCCCTATTAGCGTGCCATTAGCAGGCCCGACCATGCGTGACTACCGTGGGCATCGCGTTTCAAAATGCTGCGTAAACGGCCGGAGGAAATTGGAAGGGGCTCCACAGATTTGCACTCTTTTCTCGGGCGATATATATATTTATAATATTCCTCTACTTACTCTCTCGGAGGTAGTGAGATCGTCTACGTCTGGTGGCGTATTAAACATCATATGATGTTTAAGTGTGTGAGTATGTAAGAGTATATATTGGTGTTTTGTACACCACTTAGAGATGTTGTTCAGAGGCCAAGTATGTACTCTACTCGGTATAGGTAAGAGTAAAGAGTAAATCCCGTACCGGTGGTGTTTTCAGTGCAGCAGCTCTACTCCGGACTTGACGGGTCTTAGAACGACGGGTCTTGTTACTCTCACTAGGAGGCTGGATAATTCGTTATAATTAGCACCCAGGAGTTGCCAATTGCCAAGTGGAA